ACACACACAGATACACACACACACACACACACGCACACGCACACACACACACACAGAGACACACACACAGACAGAGACACACACACACACACTCGCACACACAAACGCTGATCTGAAGTACACTTGCGCTGGCGTGACAGCGAGAAGCACACTTTGATGTCGGATGTTTGTTTGCTGTGTGTCCTTCAGTGAACTTGGGAAAACCTCTTTTCAGAGTCGATGAGCGCTGTATCCACACGACTGTCAACATCTATAACGCTGTTTAGAAACAGACAGTGAAGATACGCTGAAGTAAACACAGTGTGTCAATCAGTTTGAGTGGCACCTGTCAGTTTGACCGCCGCTCTTGTCAAGAGATCTTTAAATAATTCCACTTTTAATGAAGCATTAAAAGTCAACATGGGATCAAAAGAAGCTATTTAAAATTAATATTTATAATATATTTATATATGAATATTTATAAAAATATATATATACAGTACATAGAAACATTTATAAAATGTATATTACAACTAAGAATTTTTTTTTTAAACGTTTATATTTTTTTTAATTATCGTATTATAATTAAAATATAAATACATTAAAATTATATATATATATACACACACACACACATTTGTAGAATGTATAAAATAATTATTATTATATTATAATAGGTAAACATAAAATAACTTGTGATTGTGATATTTTAGAAAATAAGATTTTACTACAATTAAAAAACATGGTAATGTCATTGTAATGCAAATATTTATATTTAAGTGTTTTATTTTGACTGTTTATTTTAAACATTCTACTTTAAGAATGACTTTTGTGGTATTTTAGATTTTTATTTTTTTATTTTACCACTATAAAAAAACAGGGTAAAGTCACTATAATGCAAATATTTAAACTTTTATTTTTTAACCTTTTTTAGTAAATGATTATTTTGACCGTTTTTATTTACAAAAAAGAATATCATATATATATATAAGGGCATCATTCAAAATTCATTATAAACAAATCATTTGCAAAATATGATAATTTTAAATTATGCGTATGTATACAAAACTATTATATGTAAAATTATTTGTGTATTTTAGAATAAAGCACAAACAGGCTGAAGCTGCTGCATCGTGACGCAATGCGACATTAATCGCTTCCAGTGTGACTGAACATCATTTTAATCATATTTTTCAAGTATTATTAATTTCACTGGGTGTAAAACAGTTGCACCTGTAAGGAATATAGTGTTATTATCTCTGCGCTGGTATCTGGGGGCTTTGTTGGTTCAGGCGATCTCTAATGTCACATTCTCTCTGCGAGCGGCCGCCGCCTCTGGGAACCAGAGTCAATTACCAACAAATAATTACAGAAACATTTGAGTGGCTCGTCAGACGCGGGGAAGGTTCGTCAAGGTCAACATTTCTCATGAAGCAATTTCATGCTGCTTAAAAGTTGCCAAAGTCAACATAAATCAAAATCCAGCACATTTACTTCAATACAAGCTCTTGGTGTTATTTGGGAAACATTCATCAGTGAACGTGATTCTAGATGAGTGATTCCCTTTTTGGGAATCAGTTTTAAAATGCATAAAAGAACTAATTATACCAGGTAAACATAAAATACCAGTTTATTTATTTAATGTATAAAATAATGACAATATTTCATCTCTTAAAAGAAGTGTTTTTTTGTTGTTTTTTTACTTTTTTTGTTTTGTTTTAAATATTTAATTTGACATTTTTTTAATTTAATGAATAAGCTTTTCCCAAACTCTGGAAACCCTGCTCTGAAGTCTTCGTAACTCTTTCATCAATCCACTTTTCGCTCAACAATCCAGTCCTGACGGATAAAATGAATGATGAAAGTAAACCCGGTTTTGAATGTCGTGTCATGCTGACTTTAAACAGGTTCTGGTTTGAGTCTCACCATCCATGCCGTCACAAAGTCTCCCATCCACGTTCCTACAGCAGCCATCTTCATGAAGCTCTCGTTCCTGACGCCCATGTACTCCGTCACCATGTGAGGCCTATAGAGACAGATCACCGCCGATCAGCTCCAGCAAGCCAAAGAGATGAGTACCACTGAAATACCATGTTTTGCTTAACATTTTTGAACATTTCTCATGTTAATACCATGTTTTAGACATGTACCATTGAATAATCCTGTTTTTGAACATGTATCATTGGCCATATTGCCATGTTTTGGGAATAAGTCCTGTGGAAATATCAAGTTTGTTTTGAACAATTACCATGGCAATACTATATTTTTGAACATTTTCTATTTTAATACCATGTTTTTGCACTTGTACCATTGATTTACCATGTTTTTTAACATTTACCATGGTAATACCACATTTTTTGAACATTTACCATGGTTTTACCATGCATTTTGGACATGTATCTTTGAAATACCATGTTTTTCAACATGTCCCATTGCAATCAAATGTTTTTTGAACATTTACCACGGTAATATCACCTTTTTTGATAATTTACCATGTTTTTGGACATGCACCAGTACTACCTCACTTTTATTTTGGGCATGTACCATTGAATTACCATGTTTGTTGGACATGTCCCATTGTAATACCATGTTTTTGAACAGTTACCATGGTAAAACCATGTTTGTTTTTTTGCCCATTTCCCATGTTAAGAGACACTGATCTGGTCAGTCTGATGTTTTGTGTCACAGCTGATCATGAGGTGTAACTTCTTCAGCTGCATCTTCTCCAGAAGCTTTTATCTGACCTGACATCTTCAATCAGGACACGCTAACATCATCAGCAACACTTCAGAGGCCTTTATAATACATTCAGGGAACGACTGGCTTCCAGAAAACGATCCAACGCAAATAAAAACACAGCCAAGCGTTCACACATTGTGACAGCGAGGGAATGTAATCTCCTTTACACAGCTTTTATGCCGTCAGAAGTGTTTACAGGCCTTGAACAGGTACAAACTCGTTAATCTGCTTATGCACGTCGCTTTGTGGATTACAGATGGCGGGAAACGCAGAACAAGGCCAATTTTGTTGCGCACAAATGTCAGAACGAGCGGATTGCCGCCACCCGGGTTCTTTGGTCTGGGTGTTAGGGATAATAACACCATTATCCTGTAAATGAGCTTTCATCCTCATTAGCACGTCCAATCAACGCAAATCTGTAAACCAAACGAACGCTTGACCCACATGGCGTGCGTGAGATTGAATCTGTATTCCATTCGTTACAGCCTGTCGTTAGAGCGCATGTCCAGAGCGCGACTTATCACCTTCCCCCGCGCCGATAAAGCCACTTTGATTAGAAGGAAGATTTATTGGCGCATTAAGTGGGTTTCAAACACCCCGCGGTTGTGGAAGGCGGCCAGCCGCTGGGAGTCGTTCACCAAGGGCATCGAGCTAATCGATAATACGGGAAGCATCCGATGCAGTCCAGCGCCTCAGACGCTCACGGCTGTGTTAGTATGTAATGCAGCGACCGGTGTACGTCTTACAGTATTACACACAGAGCCAAAGTGAGCGCTCTCTCGCTCTCTCACACACACACACACACACACACACACATACACACACTCTGATTAGTGTCTCAGGTCTTCATTTATTCATCATGGCTGTAATTTTAATGCAGTACTGCTGGGTGACCTAACGAAGGGAAACTAAGTCACATCAGCAGCACAAATGACACACACATCACACCATGCTTTTTGGAAACATGCTATTTTTAACATCTACCATGGTATTACAATGTTTTTGTACATGCTGCATGGTCACGTCTTTTCCCAAGGTTTCTCATGGTTATACCATGTTTTTGCATTTTTTTTACATTTACCGTGCTGTTTTGGACATACACCACAGAATTACAATGTCTTTTGAACATACACCATGTGAATACCATTTCAAACATTTACCAAGGTAATAGCATGCTTTTTAATCTGATGAAATTTCTTTATATTTACCATGTTAATACCACAGTTTTGAACATTTACTCAGGTATTACCATGTTTTTGAACATGTCCCATGGTAACATGTTTTTTGAAGATTTCCCATGTCAATACCATGTTTTTGGACATATACCATTGAAATGCCATGTTTTTCAAATATTTACCATGGAAATACAATGTTTTTAAACGTTTTCCATGCTAATGCCATGTTTTTGGACATGCACAATAGTATTACAATGTTTTTGGACATACAATTGAAATACCACGTTATTCAAATATTTACCATGGTAATACCATGTTTCACAAACATTTACCATGGTAATACCATGTTTTTGAAAATTTCCCATGATAACACCATGATTTTGGACATTACAATTTATTTATTGTTTTTGGACATGTACCATTGAAATGCCTTTTCCCCCATGATAATACCATGGTTTTTTTTAACATAAAATGTATTTTTTTCCAGATTACTATATGCAGATTGATTATTAATTCTAACCACACATATATAAATAAGGAAGAGTTCAACAGCTTGCCTGTACACATGTGGTTTAACCGAACGATTCCCCAGAGTCTCTTCTGTTAATTATAGTTCTACAGCAGCCCGGTTCATGAAAAATGAAACGCGCAGCTAAAAAAGAGGTCACATATGCTGCACGAGTTGATTTGAATCAACAAAACCAGCCGTCACTGACGGAAACGAGCGGCCCTGACGAGGGAGGAACATCAGGTGCGCAGACCCTCGTTCCTGGAAGTCAGAGAGGCCCGTGACAGGATTACTGATGTGTCTGGATGTGCCGGTATTCCCGGGATGAGCGTGTCAGCCGTGAGAATTAATATGAATGATGCTCCCGAGCGACTGCTAATGAGTCCAGTCTCACAGAGAACAAAAGTCCAGTCGTGATTTGACGAATTCAAACTGCAGTGGCTGCTTAAATTCTCAATGTGCCTTTGGTGTGTTTTCAGGGCCGCAGACGGAATCGGTCGGATTCTGTGCAAACGGCCACCGGCCGGCTCTCAGAGATGTTTGTGACATTCTCACCGGCTCCTGAGGCACAACTGAATTTTAATTAGACACGTCTCAGGAACCACAAATCTGAAATCCCCCCTAAAACGCTTCCTTGAGCCTCACTGGCACCTTACAGGACAGAATTACGATCAGGCCGAGTGATGGGCATCACATTCTCTACAAGAACCCATCTAGAACTCTTAAAGTCAGCATGAAATGTAAATTCATCCTATCTATACTTTCTAAACACGTTATTGAGCTCATTGTAAATTATTCACCAATGCATATATCTCATTTTTGTCATTCTTTATCAGATTCATTGTTATTTTAGAATCTATAATATAATACTATTACAGTTTTTGTTCATATTTTGTATTAGATTCTATATTTCTTTTCTCACTTTAATTTTATAGTGATTTTGATGTGTTTTTGTTACATTTTATTAAGTTTTTTATATAGTTTTTATTTATTATTTACTTTAGTTTATACAGTTTTATTTATTTTAGTACATCAAGATATATTAAATGAAAATGAGAAATGTAATTTTAATTAGTTTTTGTATGTCTTGTATATGTATATGTCTATTTTGCATATGTCTAGTTATATGTCTATATAGTATTCATTTATTTTATTGATTAGTTTTAGTTTATTGAGTTACTTTAGCATATCAAGATTAGGGCTGTCAAGCAATTACAATTTTTAATCAAATTAATTTCATGCTGTGACGATTAATTCATCTAATTAATCGCAAATTAATCACACAGCACTTTTGGCAGAGAAATTACCCACAAAAGATGTTTGTCATGATTATTAGAAGAGAAAAGTATTGAAGAGACATCACAAAAAGTAGCTTTAGAAATAAATATTTTAATTAAACAGCATAAATAATGATAATAAATTGATATTAAGTTAAATGATGGATGGATGGATGGATGGATGGATAGATTTAGAATTTTAATTTTCTGGGAGAATTATTTCACTAACAGCACATCTTCTAGAAAAATCTTCTAGAATGCTTAAAAAGAAATGAAAATGGATTATATTTCTGTTACCACGTCTTTACAGATTAATCCCCCTTTGTTTTTCAACCACCATGTAAATTCCCCATAAATAAGAATTTCAGCCCCAACCTACATTTATTATTAGTGCTGTCAAACAATTAATCGCGATTAATCGCATCCAAAATAAAAGTTTATATTTACATAATATATGTGTGTGTACTGTGTATATTTATCATGTATATATAAATACACACCCATGCATGTATATATTTAAGAAACATTTGTTATGTTTACATATTAAATATATTTATTTATAATATAAAATATAAGAATATAAATATATAAATGCATATACATGTAAATAATTTCAAAATATATACTGTATGTGTGTGTATACATAATAAATACACACAGTACACACATTATGTAAACAAAAACTTTTATTTTGAATGCGATTAATCGCGATTAATTGTTTGACAGCACTATTTATTATCATTATTGAATATCCTGTTTTACTCTGAAATGCATCACACTGCGACAGTCAAACAGGTTGCCAAGTTTCCGTAATGTGCATTTCCTGATTAAAACACAAACCCTAACAAGTACATCTGAAATGAACAAATGCAAATCAATAAACATGTAAATGTCAGCGCTGTTATTTGCTCTCATTTAGGCCAGTTTCCGTTTGCAGTTTTAAAGCGGAACTGCAGCAATGGAGAGAGCCAGAAACAGAATAAAGCAAGCTGATTATTAAGAGGAATTAGTAAATGTTCCTCACACACAAATGCAAATGTAAGTTATGCAGATTCTGCGGATCTCCTGAGGGAAACACATCCTGGACTAAAGGCAAGATTTGCCAAAGTTTTATAAGCGACAGCGAGTGTTAGATTAGACAGCTACTAGTGCAGAAACCGCTTGATTTATGGCACCAGCAACTTGTAAAGCAGCACTTAACATGATGATCATGTTGAGCGATTAGTCTGGCTGCTGGTAACACGCACACACACACACACACAAACACACACACTCATACACACACACACACTCACTCTCTCTCACACAAACACACACACTCTCACAC